ATTAAAAAATTTAACAGTATATTTTTGATTGATAAAGACTTTATTAGTAAGAAAAAATTCAATTAAAAAAAAAATTTAACATTAAATATTCAAGGACTCAATTGGAATTTTTTAAAGTTTAATTGAATTTATTAAGCGTTTAATTGCAAGAAAATATTGATTTTTGAAGTCAATTTAGACTTTAATTAGAAGAAATTAAAGTGTGGGAGTTGAATTATAATTTTAAAGAGTTAATTTGGTCAAATCAAGATCTAAATTGCATAAATATTAGGGTTATGATCAATTAGGGATTTTATTGAAGAACTCCAAAACTAAGGACCAAACCAAAAAAGGTGCATGAATGCAAGGGTAGAAATTGATCAAATAAGGGGTTAAATTGAATAAATCATAAGTTTGTTGATCAATTGAGGTTCAAAATACATAATTTTATAACCAAAGACTAAAATGAAATAGGCGGTCAACTTTAAAGTTGATAAATGAGTTTGACAAGGGTGAAAGTGCATGAAATTAAAAGTTTGGGAGACACTTACTAGTACAATTAAAAGCAATTGTAAGAATTGTAAGAATAGGGACTAAATTAAAGTTTTTCCATATTAAAAAAACTCTAATTTAACCCAGACGACACATTGTTTAGCTTCTTCTTTGACAATTTTGGCTAATTGAGTAAGTATTTTCAGACGAATGAATGTGGCATCTTCCATTATCTATTGAGCTGTTACCACCACCATTCAACTAAGAAACACCTCTTCAACAAAGATTATTTACTCCTATCAAACGTTTACATCCTATTTTTTTCAACAATCTTAACAAAATCTTGTCCTCGATCAGCCATCACTACATTTTTAGACTTTAAGCTAACCAAGTTAGAACTTTCAAACGAATAAATGTGGAGTTACAGACCTTTAAAATTGAGCAAGGATAGATGTAAATGAAAGGTATGCCTTTTTTCTATCAAGATTGGGTGATCTTTGATGATGTTTACATTGGAATTGGTCTGGCAAAACCTTGGAATTGGTCTGGCAAAACCTTGAAATTGGTCAACTCAGTCAACCTTGACTAAGATACCCATTCGTGTAAAACTACTTAATTTTTTTTTATGTTTACACTTAAAAACTTCTTAATGGTTTCTTATCAAAGTCTTAAAATATTTTTCTCAAGATCAAAGGGCCAAAAGCATCTCATTTTGTCCTTCAATTTTAATAATAAAACATTATTGAGTTTGTTACAAAACCACGATCCTAAAACCATTAAAAGGATAAAGGTTTTAGTTGTTAATATTTTTCTAAAACACTCTCATTTTGATTATACGTCTGAGCTTTGATCAGTCCCTATTCGAATCCATAAAAAAAACCCTAGCAAAATCTTATAAATACCTCTTGAAAAATTAGAGGCTAAGGGAGGCAAAAAAAAAAAAAAAAAAAAAGAGAAGAGAAGAAAGCTTATTCTTGGAGTTCATTTGTAATCAAGTTTATTACTTGGCATCTACGAGCAAAAAGAATAAATTAAAGATTGCGCAAAATATTGGATTTTCAAAGGAAAAAAATGTAATAACTATTATGAGTTTTTAGAAAATATAATCATTCCCTAACCTAGTATATGTTATCCATGAGACACAACTCTAGCTTGTTTTATATTTTTAATGATGTTTTTAAACTTCCTTTAGTGTTATAATGTGTTTTAGTTTTGATTTTGATTAATATGTAAAAAAATATTTTTTTTTTGTTTAAATCTTGTATTGAGTTGTTTATTGATGTTCCTAAATACTTAAGTAATGTTTGCTGGATGAGTTTTGATGAAATGAAGTGGTTTTAAAATACGTCAAATGTGATAGCATGGTTATAATGTTTTTCTATGTTAGCTGATCCTTGTTCTTAGTTTGTAGGTTTTGGTTACGTTTTATTGAAGGTTTAAAAAAGAAAAGAAAAGAATTCAAATTGCATAGATATCTAGGCTATTTTAACTTAACAATTTTAAAGTTTGGAATCTCTTGTATAATTTTTATGTTATTTTTGATTTTTTTTAATTCAAACATATTTGGATATGATAGTATAACTTATTATAATAAAAAAAATATGTTTTAAAGATTAAAAATACCAATTTGGAAGGATTGACAATAGCTAGGTTTTTAAGGAGTGACTGAGTTTTCTAAGGCAATGATTTTAGAAAAAACATTGTTTTATCTCCATGATTTGGACCAATTTTAATTTATTTTTTTGTATTAAATATTTTTTTGGACTTAATTAGTTAATAACCTAGGGTTTACTTGTGTCAATAACAAGTGTTTTAGAGATTTTGATTTTAAATTAAAATTTATCTTAATTAAATTATAATTATTAATTGAAATTTTAATTATTAATTGATAATTATTGATAGTCGACGGTTGATTAATATATTCGCTGCCTTGTTCGACACTTTTGATCGGTGCAAAGTTTTCAAATAAGCATTATCTATTTTCTTCCTTTTTTTTTGGTAGGATGAAATAGATGTATATATAGGCTGATAAATTCTTATTTCAATTATATCCTCTCAAGATCAAAACTAAAGAAGAAGACCAACCAAATGTAGACATGTCACCTCTCTAAAATGTTAATAAGAAATTTAAGTCAAAATCATGAAAATCTCTTGACTAATGAATTTTCTCTTCGCCTTCTCTGTCAAGCCACGAGGGTTTCCTTTTTCCTTCACGATTATGAGCTCCAAGACCTAATTAGTTGGGTGAAAATTTTGCGTGATGACGTGGGCATGACAACATTATGACAATTCACACCTATTATTCTGATGGCATTTCATCACAGACACCCTGCGGACAGCAATAGTCGCAAAGCACACTTGAAAAAAAAACATATGTAGTGCATGGCCATGTCATTAAAGAAACATCATACTTCTTGTGTTGATCATGAGATGTTATAGCATGCGTCGGCAGATCCCAAGTTCATGATGTTCCATCAGAAAAAAAAGAAAAAAAGTAAAAAAAAAAAGGTTTTAGAGTTGCATTATTTAAGACCTCCATCTACTTTTTGGATGCATTTACCATATTCACTCTGATTTTATTTTGTCACCAAATAACTTTATGTGAATGCAATATTGTTGGGTTAAGAAAAATATTTTTTAGATAAAAAATATGAGTTTAGAATTTTTATTTAACTAATTAATTAGAAATTTTTTGAACTAATATTTAGAATCTTTGTTGGGATATGATAATTTAAGTTTATAATTTTATTATAAATATAAAGGGGTCATATATTCAGATTTTTTAATGTGTTGAATATCAATAAATAAAAGCTTAAAAGTATAAATAGTTGAGTGTTTAGAGTTTTGAAAAAATAGCACCGAAGATGGAAAGGTAAGAGTCCTATTTTTTTTTTTTTGCATTTTAAAAATATTTTCAAAAAAAATTGAATTTTTTATCTTTTTATTTTAAATTAATATTTTTTTATGTTTTAAAATTATTTTTATATGTTAATATTAAAAATAAAATTTTTTAAATAAAATATATTATTTTAATATTTTAAAAAAAAAACACTTAAAAAAATAACTACAACTTAACCAACCTCAACCATCAGCGTATGCTATTGAAGAAAAGAGGCTTAACAATCTTCCCATGTTGATTCAAAGAATAGAACCCTTAACCATTCGTGAGTATGATTGAATAATTGGTTAAATGTTGATATTAAAAAAAATAAAAAAATAAAAAGATTTTGTAACTACCCTACCTCTAGTCTTTGTATATTTACGCTTAAGTAGCTTTTCTTTCGGGACCAATCTTAGTAAAAAAAAAAAAAGTCAAAATCTTAAATGAGACAGCATGAGAGTTTTTTCAGAAGCAAATAAAGAGTTTTTGTTTTTTTTGGTCTTAAAATGGGTTTGAACTCAGAATTCAACCTCAAAGGAATGATGAAATCAAGGTTAATTAGGGGGTGGATTTCATTATTGCATCATAAAATTATTAAATATGCTCTACTAATTAATTAGAGTAACTTTGCTACATGAAATATGCTGTAGTGAATAGGGTAACGTTGCAATATGGAACACCACAACAAAAAAATATTTTTTTTAGTGTTATTGTTGGTGAAAAGCAAGTATAATCATAAAGCATCGCTTTGTCAACCAGGGCATTAAAAGTGCCAGAAACATGGTGATTGCTGAACCAAAACCTAACCCTTTAGTAACAAGTTGCTAATCCGGAGCCACAATTACTCCTTGTGCCTGAGGGATTAATATCCACCGACTCCCACATTTTCAAGCCACTTGAAAATTCCAGAAATCAGTCCAAGCACCACCATGAAGAGAAGCAAAATCCTTGCGAACTTTTAAGTCATCCTAGCGTCACATTGATCTCGATAAAATTCATGTGCGAATGTACAATTGTCACGTTTCCACATCTAAGAATTAATAACCATTAATGTCACACTAAGGCTGCTTAGATAGCAAATTCACCTGTGGACATAGTCCTCCAATATTGTTAACTTTAATAATTGCATCTTTATCAAATTAGAAGTGGCTTTGTGGAGCCTAATTAATACGACACATCTTGCCATTGGCGGATTAACCTGTGGTCTATTATAGACATACATATACCTTCTTTTTTTTTAATGTAAATCCCAGTATTTGAAAGCTTATTAGACCGACTAATCTAATTGAGCCCGGTCAACCAACTAAGAGATAATACTCTCCTAGCAATAATGTATTATATATATATAAAATTTAAATTCAAAATCTTGTTTAAAGAAAACAATGGTCGAAACTATTTGAAACAACTACCCTTGCTTCCATATGCCTAATTGTATCCACGAATTCACGTCCATAGATATAAAAAAGATGATGTTCCATTTTCCCTCCCTGTCTCTCCTTCTAAAGAATATATAAGACCGAATTAAACTAGAATAGGACATGAAACCGACCAATAAATTGGAGTCTCAAGCAAAGAAACCACCAAAAACTTTTCACTCAAAAAGTGAATTAATTATACGTACATGTATATAATCATAATGAGTTTGGTAGGCAACTTTAGTATATAATAAACACTTGCCAAAGTGCAAAATTCACCTAACGAGTTCTAATCAATAGAAGAGCTGCAACTTTTTTCTTTCCCAATATAAGAGACCGTACATGGACACCAAGAAGAGACCAGTACTGGACGTGTCTTCCTTTCTTCTGGTCGAGGGCAGTGCAGACTCTGAGGCAGAATATGGGCTTCTGAAGCTCTATCTCGATGTTACTATAGCCTGCGCTGCTGCTGCTGCTGCTGATGATGATGATGATGATGCAGAGTCATGCAGCTGTGACACAACTGATCGTATACATGGTTTTTCTGAAACTTTTGAGGTTGATGATCATCGCGAGCCAAGTTGGAGTGGATGCAAGATGTTTCTAAAGGATGCCGCCTTGGATTGCATGATCATTGAGGAGGGTGATCAAGAGGAATCAAAGGTTGATATTAATCTAAGTAGGGAAGTCATGGATGCAATGGAGGACAGACTCTTTTGGGAGACTTGCATCGCGCTAGGGTACCCTTAAATTTTAGTAGTTTTAAATTTCAGTGGTCCTTGCTCCTTTTCCTTCAAGAATAAACCAAGGTGCTATTGTCTTGGTCAAATTACTAGTACGTATAAATTACACACCGTACTCTTGTTTCAGTTTTTTTAATGTCGATGTTGTGATCTAAAAGACTTGCTATTTGTTTATTTGTTTTTTTGGACTTCAATGTGTTTCTAGTATTTGTGGCTTTTTACTAGGGTTATTTGTATTATTTATTTATCTAGACCATCAAGCTCCTTGTTCTAGGGCTTTAGCTCGCATGTATTCATTAGGCTCTTGGCCATTTAATGGAGTTTGTTGTTGGGGAAAAAAAAAAGTTATGAACTATAGTTTTCTGTGTATAAAACTAATTGCTTCTACGAACCTAATGTATTTCAGCTTTTAAAACTAATTATGTGTGGATAACATTGATTACCTTTTTATTATATATCCGATAAAAATCATTCGTTTTATAATTTTTTTTAGCAAAGATGAGAGATTGTATCTTCAATTATTTAGAAAATAATAAATGTTGTTTAATACGTTGATGATCCTCATAAAATTATCTTGTGTTTGACAACATGAATTCCCACCGCCTCGGACAACAGAAAATTATAATTCAAATTTTATGAACAAAAATTTCATGTCACCTCAGAGAGCGGGAGTTTCTCCATAGCAAATAACAATATTGTCATGTATTAACATAATTAGTTATTTATTAACACTATTTTGAAAATTTGTCTCCGCCTCACATGTAATTTTGGATCCTGGTTTGAGCTAGGTATTAATTCAAAACATCCATATAGTTCACTATTAGAAAACCAGTGAAAATCAACAGAATTAGTAATAAAAAAATTTTATCGATAATTTTTATCAAAGGATATAATTTTTCCTTTAATTTTATCAGTCTATACTGACAAATCATTTCTATGGATAATAATTACCGACAGCATAGATTCTATCGGCAATATAGTTGGTATATACTGACAGACAAATTTTTTCGGTATATGCCGACCGTATTGCTGATAGAATATATAAAATTTTGAAAAGAAAAAATAATGTGATGACGTGAAATTGTTTTAGAAGATGTTATCAACGAAATGATCTAGGGATTCAAACTGAGATCTTTGTAAAGTGATGTGGCCCATTCACCGTCAGAATTATCGACGAGACGTGTCCGTCGGTAGCTCCATCAGTAAAAGCCAATATATAAACACTCTGCGGACTCTTTCCTTTTTTTATTTCTCCTTTTTCTTTCCATCCCAACTCTCCCCTCTTAAACTGCAACCAACTACCCATCCCAACTCTCTCCCTCTTCTCAACACAAGCACTCAAGTTTTTTATACTTTTGTACGTAGTCACAACATCTGTTCTCTGATTAATTTATTGTGGATTTTATCATTTTTTGTAAGTAAATCTATCCTTTTTAGTTTTAACATTTAAATGTTAATTTTATTATTTTTTATTGTTTTTTTAGTATGTATATTTTGTTAACATATGTACTTGTTTTATTGTTATTTGTCAAAAAAACTTGTAGAATGAATGTATAATTTTGTATTTGTTATAGTTTGTTTAAGATTTTCTCAAATTGTATTTATACGTTAATTGTTGAAACTTTGTTTGAATTACACCGAATTAGATGTGTTGTGATGAAATAAATAATAGTTTATTTAACGAGCGCGTTTTAATTTTTATCAATTCTATTATAGAGTTGTGATTTCTGTAAATTTATATATGTATAAATTTGTATGGATGTTGATAATTAATAATTGATAATAAATATTTAACATAAGTATTTTTTTAGTTTGTTGGATAATGTCAGGGCAAACCAATATTTTTTCAAATTTATTTACATAACATAGTTAATTAATACATGTTATCATCATAATTTTATAGAGGTTCGATAAAAGTTATGAATTTACTGAGACTCACCCCAAAAATTACAGAAAATAGATTATTATAATGAGATTCAGAGTTTTATTAATTTCATAACATCTATTTCGAGAAATTTTACTAGTGGAGATATTAGGTATCCATGCAGGAAGTGTAAAAATAAAAAGTTTCTACATCATCCGTCTTATTCTAATTACCAACAGAAATTAATGTCATAGCCAAAAAAAATATTATTCTAATTTTTATCGGTAACTTCGTCGGTAAAATTGGTATATAAAACCCAACCCCCCATTCGTGGTTCATTTTTTATCCGTTCCTCATTCATCCACCTTCTTTTTTCCTTTGCATTCCTTATAAAATTTAAAGCTTCATGTTTTGATTGTAGTTTTCAACATATTAAAAGGTATGATTCTCCTTCTTTATCTTTGTATTTTTTTATTGTAATTATCATTATTTTTGTTGTGTTTTTTGTTTTATGTATTGTTTGTAGATAAAATCTTGAAATCAACGCATTATTAAGGTAAATAGTTTTCATTCCTAAAGTCTTTAGTTTTTTCTTTTTATTTTTTCAATTTATTTTATTGTTTGTATTGCTATAATAATTGAAAATTTTGTTTCGAATTATTATTGTTGAATTTACCTTTAAAATGTTAATTGAAATATAGAATTAAATTTAATTATTTTATCTTAATTTAATTATATTATTGCTTGTTATGTTTTGTATTATTTCAATTAATTTTAATTGTTATTTATGAATTTGTATAGATGTTAGTTGAAAATACACAGATATTAAATTTCTATAGATGTTAGATTGTATATAAGATTTTCTAATAAAGTCAATTGGTTTGTGGTTATTGTAAATATTTGCAAGTTGATCACGAAGAGGCACCTAAGCCACCTTGTGATGCTGCCTCTTCTAGCATGGTTTCGTAGCGTAGAGACAGTGTGCTTTCACAGCGTGGTTAATTCACCCACAAGTACCAGGCATAATGAAAGGATGACCTTTTAATGTTAGTTTGTTTAGGTTTTAGTTTTTTTTTATATACTTATAACATAATTTATGAACAACTAATTAATATTTTATTAATTTTATTTAATTTTAGGTTCACTAACATTGAGGTTGCCAAAACAATAACATCGGCGTTTAAATTGTTGATGAAGATTCTATTATTTCAATGGAGTTAGGTTTCCAGATATCCTGAGTGGAGACCTAATATCGATACATGGTTTTAATGATTTCAGGTAGGTGTTAATGACATGATGAAAAGATTGATATCTTCTCTCAACTGCAGGAGTGTCAAAGTATTAAATAACCCAGTAAGATCGGGTTCGAACCATAGGGAGGTTAACTACTAATAATAATAATAAAAAAGAGAGTTAAAGAGGACTTTGAGATGTAAGATTAATGTGAAGATTAAATAATAAAAACAAATATCAAGGTTATAGGATCTACTAATAGTATCTCAAGTAAGTATAGTATAAACTCCTTTTATTACTCAACTAGAAACCATGCACTGATTAGTACTTAAAAGTGCATTTTTATCAAGGTTTTATCATCATTTTGAACTTGAAGTATTAATAACTCCTTAACTAAAGCATGTTTTATAATAATATATCTAATAATATAAGATACCTTTAATTTGTGGCAAATGTTTATTTTAAATGCAGGCCTATCACATAAATGAAAAGATTGATTGATGACTTTAAGAACTTAAATTGCAAGGACAAAGAGATGACCAAACTTAGAAAAGAGATGCCGATGCAGTCCATACTGGAACACTATTGGATAATTGGGTCATATCTAGATCTGTAGATTTCAGATTTAGGTCCAATTTATATGGATAGAAAGGTAAGACATATGCCTACAACTTTCATATGGAGCCTAAGATTTAAAAAGGTCATTTTCAAGTCCAAATTGTAGCAACAATAAAAAAGCCTGAATCTGTCTTCCAGCCCAAGCACTGTTCAGTATTTGGCCCAAATCTGGAGTTTTAGAAGTCCAAATGAGTTGCAGTTTTTACATAAGAAAGCTGAGACAATTTCCTACAACTTTCATGTTTTCAAGTGGCTCCAATTTTGACGTTATCAATGACGTTTTGGGCAGACAAGAGAAGATAAGGATTGTCACCAAGTCAAGAGTTGGTCACCCACTCATCAATTAGTCATCAAATCAATAGTTCCCAATTTTGGACTATAAAAGGAGGCATTTGCCATGCATTTAGGCATCTTGGTTTCCAGATCAAGATCATGCTCTTGCTTTCTCTCTTTGTATTTTTTGTAATGTTTGTGCTTTGCTTTCATTAATATCAAATTTATGCTTTTCATTTCCTTTCATTTACTTAGTTAACTCTTATCTTATTTATGTTCTTATTTTGTTTATTTATTTTTCTTTCTTTTCATTATGTCTAGCTAAGTTTATTATGTCAAGGTGAAAAGGTTACACTAATGGTGTAAGAATAAGTATAGTGTAAATTTAATATGGACTTTAATGTTTGATACTAACATGTTTTGTATTTGTTATCTTGTTCACTCTTTAATACTTTGCTTGTTAAATGACTAATCTTGATTTATATTGTATAATATTTGGTACAACAAATGCTTGGTACTTTCATAACCCATACTGTATGGTATAATTGACACCTGAGCTATGAAAGGAACTTGATTTGTTGTTAACATAAGTTTAAATCATGAATGCTTGACGAGATTTACAAATATTAGCATTAATCGAATAAAATGACTAATGTAATCATGTTAACAATCTATAATCTGATTAGAACCTCTTTTGTGTGTGGTTTCCAATTGAATAATAAAAGTTTATACTATACTTGTTTGACATACCATTAGTGGATCCTCTAACCTTGACATTTGTTATTATCATCGTTTAATCCTTACATTAATATTCCATCTCCAAGTTCTCATCTTCTTCTTCTTCTCTTTCTTTATTATTATTATTATTATTAGTATTGTTGTTGTTGTTGTTGTTGTTTATAATTTGTATAATTAACCTCCCTGTGGTTTGATCCCGGTCTTGCCAGGTTATTTATTACTTCAACACTCCTGCACTTGGGAGAAGACATCAATCTTTTAGTCGTGTCATGTTTTTGGTACCGTTGCCGCAGAGGTAAGTTCTTGTATAAATTATAGTAGTTATTTTATTTTCTCTTTTCACTTTTCTTGTATATAACTTTGTTTCTTTTCTCTTGTTTCTTTTTCTTTTGTTTTCTTTTTCTTTTTATTGTATTCCTATATGTGCATGAGAGTGTGGTCACATACATTAAGTGATAGACTTTATAGGGTATCCTCATCATTTTCAGAAAATATGGCTGAAAAAGATAATCAATCACTTTATAACGAGAACAACCATGTTAGAACACTTAGAGACCACATGAATTCTATAAGAACAAGTGCACCATCATGCATAGTTTTTCCTC